AGGTTGCTCCCTGCAGAGCATTTTCCGTGTCAAGCATTTCTTGTCGGCCTGTTCTCTCCTGCAGACGAGGGGATTCGAGAGCAGGAGAAGCCTTYGGAGAAGGCGGAGTTGAGCAGCAGCCCAGGGAAGGGGGAGGATAAAGAAGTCAAACCAGGTGAGGCATGAGGCTTTGGAGAGAGAAGAGTGGGAAGAATCCCTGGAGTGAGGCCGGTGCCTGGCACAGTGACAGAGCGTGCCCACGGGATGGTGGTGAGGATGCCATCAGCACCAGCACAGCTCACGGGAACCAGACCCTGCTGGSGTGGGCTCTGCCTGTGCTGGAACATTGCTGACAATGCCAGGAGGGGCAGGTTTGGCTGCTGCCCTGGGTTAGAGAGGGGTTGGTGGCTTTTGCAGCAGTGACTGGCTGTAGGTGGGGCAGGGGTGGCACTGGTGGATCTGGTGGTGGAGCACAATTAGATGGGCCAATTTCTTGTGTTTGCCAAGCAGAGGATGGCAAAGAGGAGGAAAAGGAGCACAGTGATGCCCAGCAAAACGGTGACAAAGAGGAAGAGGAGGAAGGAAAGAGGGATGACAGAAATGTGAATTTCAGATTCATGTTCAACATTGCTGACGGTGGCTTCACAGGTAAGAGTGACAGATGAGGTGTTGGCCGCAGAGGCTCTGAACMTGTTGGAGGAAGGTGACCCTTGTCAGGGGCTGTGGATGGGCTGGTGCTTGGCTGGCAGCAGCAGCCYTGGCTCTGYRCTGTGCTCGTGGCCCTGGCAGRTTCCATCGCTCACCCTGMCCACGTGCTGTGCRCTGACCCGCAGCCYGGCTGCCTGACCAGGCTGTCTCCCTTCTCCTTCTGCTTCCACAGAGCTGCACACGCTGTGGCAGAACGAGGAGAGGGCTGCCATGTCCTCTGGCAAGATCTACGACATCTGGCACCGCCGACACGACTACTGGCTGTTGGCAGGAATTGTCACGTACCCTTTGACCCAGCAGCCAGGCGAGAGAAGCCTCTGCCGTGGGGCAGGAGCTGGGCTGGCGCTGCAGTGATGAGCAGGGAGGGGCTTTGGGGTCTCGGTATCGCTGCGGGGTGGCGGGCARGCTGTTGGCTGGCTGGTTGTGCCCTTGACACTTGCCCCACACCAGTCATGGCTATGCCCGCTGGCAGGACATCCAGAATGACCCGCGCTACGTGATCCTGAACGAGCCTTTCAAGTCGGAGATACACAAGGGGAACTACCTCGAGATGAAGAACAAGTTCCTTGCCCGGCGGTTCAAGGTGAGTGGCAGGTCCAGGGCTGGTGAATCCCTACTGGTGGAGGGCCAGAGCAGCATCCTGAAGCCAGGGGGGTTTGCCAGCGCCTCCTGGGAGTGAARCCGGGACTGGACTTGGTGAGGGCCTCTGAGGTTTACTGGTTTACATTCTGGTCCTGAATCCTTCCCGTCCTGCCCCTCCCAGTTGCTGGAGCAGGCTCTGGTGATCGAGGAGCAGCTGCGGAGGGCGGCGTACCTCAACATGACCCAAGACCCCAGTCACCCGGCCATGGCGCTGAACGCGCGGCTGGCGGAGGTGGAGTGCCTTGCYGAGAGCCACCAGCACCTCTCCAAAGAGTCCCTGGCTGGGAACAAGCCTGCCAACGCTGTCCTGCACAAGGGTGCGTGCCTGTGGGGCTRGAGGAGCCTGTCCTGGGGTTGGGAAGGGTTCCCCACGCTGACCCCAGGGAACCCAGCCAGGAGGTTGTGTCCATCCTGTGTTCCCTCAGCCAGGAGCCCGTCCTGGGCTTGGGAAGGGTTCCTCATGCTGATGCTAGAGAACCCAGCTGGGAGGTTGTGTCCATCCTGTGTTCCCTCAGCCAGGAGCCTGTCCTGGGGTTGGGAAGGGTTCCCCACGCTGACCCCAGGGAACCCAGCCAGGAGGTTGTGTCCATCCTGTGTTCCCTCGGCCAGCCTGCTGCTCCCGGCTCGCTGGGTGTGACAGGCGTGCCCCGGGTTACTCCCTGCTCTACTCACAGTGCTGAACCAACTGGAGGAGCTGCTGAGTGACATGAAGGCTGATGTGACACGCTTGCCCTCCATGCTGTCCCGCATCCCGCCCGTGGCCGCACGCCTGCAGATGTCGGAGCGGAGCATCCTCAGCCGCCTGGCCACCCGTGGAGGGGATCCATCTGCCCAGGTCTGCGGGGACGGGCACAGAGCCCCTCGCTGTCAGGGTCAGGGTGAGGTCAGGGCTGCAGCCCCATGTCTTTTCCTCCTCCTTGCCCTCCCCAGGGCTCCTTCGGCTCCCCCCAGATCTTCAACAACAACTTTGGCCCAAATTTCCGTGGTCCTGGGCCAGGTGGGATTGTCAACTACAGCCAGATGCCTCTGGGACCCTATGTGACTGGTAGGTTGGGGTTTTGCTCTTGGGCACAGACATTCAGAGGGTGGATTTGGGTGCTCTAGGAGTGCCACCAAAGGACAATAGCGAGCAAGGTGTTTCCTCTCTCACCACAGATATTTAGCAGTTCCTACGATTTTACCCTGCAGCTCTCTCTCCTAGCTGAGGTAAGGCTGTGCTTCCCGCTCTCCGTGTTCCGTTTCCTGGGGATCTTGAAGGGGCAGGGGGCTAAACGGAGGCTCCATTTTGGGCTGCTCCCCTGTGCCAGTATCTGCAGACTCGAGCAGCTGCAGTGGAGGTGGGAGTACCGACTCTTCGTGCAGCTCACCCCAAGTGCCCGGGGGGATGGCAATTGGGGAAGGGTCCAGATCTGGCTGATGGGCAGCCCTCCCCTCTTCTCGCAGCAGCCCTGGGGGACAGTCCCCTGTCCCTGACCACGAGCTGCTGTTGCCAGAGGTCGGCGGGGATTTGTGCCAGCGTTGCCTGTGTGGAAGATGAGCTGCTGCCGGTGCTGCTGGGCTGTCCCGCTCCCGCTTCAAGTGTGCTTTGCCTGCTGCGGCCCCCGCGGGAGCGGCGGGGCCGGGGGTTCGTGTCCGTGTACATTTTTTGCACTTTCTTATTGAAGACTTGAAGAGTTTGTCTGGGCGAGGTGGGCTGAGGGGAGGGAGGGGAGGGCTGGGGTTGCAGTGTTTGTCCCGTTGTGTTGGCACATGTGGGGATGAGGGGAGGSCAGTGGTGCCATGTCCCAGCCGGCTGTGCTCCCCAGCTTCCCTCTAAGGGCCATCTCTGCGTCCTCGTGGTGTTTGAGCAAGCCCACGCCTGCTGCTGCCCCGCTGGAGTCCCYGGCACTGCCGCGGTGTGGCTGGGGGTCCACGTGTGCCGGGCTTGGGGTGGGCAGATGGAGGGGATGTGGGTGGGACAGAGGGGACAGCTGGAACTGGGATGGGGATACCGCGAGCGTGGTGACACCGGCAGCTGTAAGCAACGCCCCTGCATCCGCTTCGTGCTCTGTGTGTCCCGGTTTCTGTTCTGTGTTTTAATAAATCCTTTGGGAAGGATGCAGTGGAGTCTGGCTGGGGGAGGGATGGTGGGGTGGCCTCGGGAGGGGCTGGCCATGGTCTTGGTACCCCTGTTGTCCTGCACACATGTACATACACACACACAAAAATCCACAGAAAGACACATATCTGCATACACACATGTACCCAGACACACGTGTGAACGTGGAGACACAGGGACACATATGGACACAGGCATTAGAATGTGGTGTGCATCCATCTCTACATGAGTGCACATGTCTGTGTCACCCTCACACACGTGTGTACCTCTCCATATACAGCATGTGTAGATCTCTCCCCGCACACACTTCCCAGAGCTCAGAGTTCACTTGAGCTCACACACAGTGCAGACCTTACATACACTGCAGAGCTCACACACAGTGCAGAGCTCCCGATGTGTACAGAGCTCACAGAGTGCAGAGCTCACACTTACACTGCACAGACCCCACACAGTGCCCAGAGCTCTCACAGTGTGCAGACTTCACTCACTGCACCGAGCTCACACACACTGCACAGAGCTGAGGGTTTGCAYGCACATTTACAGTTTTTATATTTATGTGTGTAGAGAAAACTGTGTATAAGTGTCCATGGATATGGATACATATATAGGTATTGGCAAAAATGTTTGTTCTGCAAAGACTACACAGAGSTATAAACAGATACATGTAGCTATAGTTATATTGTTCTCTCTATAACTTTTATGTATAATCTATCTCTGTATCTATCATATATGTATCTATATATATATAGCTATAGCTAGACATGCAGCTATATATATGTAGCTATAGCCATATATGCATTATGAATATCTGTGTCCATGTGTATATATGGATATGTTTATAGATGTATAGAGATGAGTACCTAGTTATAGAGCTGGGTATGGATACAGATACATCTACAAATATMTCTGTATATACACATCTATCTGTACATATACACATTTCATGTGTGCATACATACAAACATGGATGTGGCTACAGCAATATATTGACATGGGTATGCACACATCTATATATTACATATATGGATCAAAACACAGAGTACGTGTAGCTGTATATACACAGGCACACACGTGTCTCAATGTGCGTGTTTATATACATTATATATGTAATTTTCAGAGGTGTGTGTCCACATCTACATACATATATRTGTAAATAGGTATTGATCTCTTAGGGACTGATGTCAGGGGCAGAGGTGGGGTAGAGCTACACCTATATCCGTCCATGTGTGACTCTGYGTGTGCGTGGGTGTCTTTGTGTGCGTACACACCCCTGTAACGGGTGTATGTGGGTGTGTGTGTAGAGGCTTTCAGCAGCTTTGTGCAGATACAGCTGAAGGTGTGTGGGCTGTGCTCACCTCCACAGCTGCTGTCTGCAAACGCACACGTCTGTACGTCCCTGCCTGTCCRTATATCCCTGCGTCTCCACGTGTGTTCATGCACATACACACTCACACATCCACACAGAAAACCCTGCCCCGTGCTCGGCTACCCSGGGCTCTTGGCACACAGAACTCCCTCCCCATCACYGCCCCACCCGCCCCTTCCCCGGGAGCAGGTGCTCGCAGCATCGGAGCCCCGCGGTGCCGGTCCGGTGGCGCAGTGCACAGGCGAGGGCCGCTCACAGGTTGGGGAACAGCTTCGTGTTGTCGGCCTCGTGGGCGTACAGCACCCGCGTCCACCCCGCGCCCACCGCCTCCGGCAACGCGGGGGCAGGAGCCACGCATGCAACGGGTCCCCGCGGCGGCTCCGGCTGCGGGCAGAGCGGCCGGGCAGCTCGGGGCTCGCCTCCCGCCGGCCGTCCCCGCAGAGCCGCAGAGCCATGTCCGGGACAGCGCGGGCGGGAGCGCTGGCTCTCGGCGCTCGCGGTGCAAACCGCACTCTCCAGTTTGCTCCAACAAAGCGTAAGCAAGCGAACGGGCGGCGAGGGCTGCGYGGCGGGCGGCRCGCTCGGGAGCGCTTAGGATCKGTAGTCCTTCTTGCTGTATGGTTTGTTGCCCAGGATGCTATCGATCTCGTGGACGATGGAAGACGACAGCTTTGGAAGGACCTGTGGGGGATGGAGGCGAGGCTGGGAGTTGGGATTGTGACCCTGGTGCACAYGGGGGGATGCTCACCGCCTCCACCCTGCCATGTTCGTGCCACAAGCCCCAGCTTGCCGGCTGGGTGACCCAGTTAGGGAGAGCCTGAGTCAGGGCCGACCCTGCCCCCCAGCCCAGCAAAACCTTATCTCTGCTTCTCGCCTTCATGACAAGCAAAATCTGTCATGAAGCTGGGTTTGCAACCCTCTTTCCCCGCACAGTGCAGCACAGCAATGAGTGCTGCGGGCAAATGTTGCTCCTGCTGGGAGCACTGACCTGTATTGCTCCGATATTCTCCATCAGCTGGTCGGCATTGGAGGCCCCCAGTAAGACGGAGCTGACACCCTCATTGCGCAGGCACCAGGCTGGGATGGGAGACAGAGCAGAGCTTGAGCATGGCCAAAACCCCCCTTGTCACCCTCAGCTGTCCCTCACTGTCCCCCATCCCCTTACCGATGGCAAGCTGGGGCAGGGTGCAGCCCAGGCGCTCAGCGATGGCCTGCAGCTCCTTCAGCTTTGCCTGCTGCCGCCGGCCCTCCTCGCTCAGGATCTTGTCCTTCAGCCAYTGGTATCCCTGGGGAGCAGAACAGGGTGTTGTGGTGGGATCAAGGTGCACCGTCACCTTGCACAGGCAGGGCATCCCCAAAACTTCCTCGCCTGTGGCTCCTGGAGCTCCTGTTCCCATGGGGACTTTTGCAAAGCTCCTCGCTGTGCTCCCCCAGCTCTGCCCATCCCCAGCTCTGCCCTCCCAGCCCTGCTGCAGCTCACCTTCAGTGAGGCACGAGAGTAGGGGGGGATCCCCCCATCGTACTTCCCAGAGACGATGCCACAGGCCAGTGGGGACCAGGTCATGGCTCCAACACCTGGGGACAGAGCAAAACGGGGATGACGCTGCCGCTCCCAGTTCTCCCAGGGACTGCTGTGCCTGGCCTCAGCAGTGCTGGGTTTAGGGAGCACTGTGCTTTGCAGGGCTGGGGAGGAACCTCCACTGTCATACCTATCTTGTGGAAGAGCTCAGGGAGCTGCACCTCCACCTTTTCCCGCTGGAACATGTGGTACTCGGCCTGCTCGCAGATGGGCGGAATCAGGTTGAACTGCCGGGCCACCGAGTATGCYTCCTGCAGAAGAGACGGGACCCTCAGCGCCCCGCCGCTCCCCCCGAGCCCCCTGCCAAACCCCCCAGCCAAGTCCTGAGCGGCCGCCCCGAAAAATAATTAAGGCTTAAGTGCATCTGCACACGCTTGGCTCCCAACAGCTGCTGTCTAATTAAATCAATGTCAGCGGCGTCGCTGGGGCTGCTCCGCTGCGGCCGCCTCGGTCCCCTGGGCCCCTACCATGATCTCCATGGAGCTCCAGCGCGAGGTCCCCCAGTACATGGCCATCCCCTGGTTGATGACGTGGGTCATGGCTCGCACCGTCTCTGCCGGGAGGGAAGGAGAGAGTGGCAGGTGGGGTTTAGCAGGGGCTGTGCTGGCAGAAGTGGGGCTCGCACTGCGCTGATGGCTGGCGAGCATCCCACTCCCCAGTGCTGCAGCGGGAGCTGGGTCGTATCCGCGGGATGCTTTTGGAAGAGCAGGATGGGGACAGAGGGAGCAGCCACTCAGGATGTGCCGGGGACCGCAGCCGACCTGACATGCCACACACGCTGCCAGGCTCTCCCAGCAAGGAGAGCAGCCCAAGGCTTCTGGCAGTGGCCCCATGCCCTGTGGGGTTACCAGCACCGGCACCACTGCAGGGGGAGGGACTGATGCATAGCCCACACACACAGAYCCAGGGAGGGAAGCCTGGACCCCGTGTGAGTTGTTCAGGGGTCTTGGGGGGAGCCAGCCCTGAGCCATGCGGGCTGGGGCCAAGCCAAGGCGTGCTCCTGCAGCCAAAGGCGGGCAGCGGGGAGGGCAAGGGGCACGAGACTCTCCCGACCGGCACTGGGGCACACACCCCAGCATGCTCACAGCCGCCCGGCGAGGAGGGAGCCTGCCGCAGACCCCAGCATGTGCCGAGGGCACCCCATGGCAGGGCCCTGGGGGGTGGGAGCCTCTCTGCTTTTTGTCCTTTAAACTGCAGCACAGTCTGAAGGGCCGGGGGGTGTCTGTGTTGTGCTGCCACTGCCTCTGCATCTCATGGCGGGGTTTGCTTGAGGGGGAGGAACAGGGATGGGGAATCACAGAGGAGTGGGGGCTCCGCCCCGGGAAATGCCGCTGGGACAGGCAGCGGCTGACGGGCAGAGTGCGGGCAGGGAGTACCTTCTACGATGAAAGTCCTGGACTTGGAGGAACTAAATGGGTCCCCTGGTGATAAAAGAGAGATTTAGAGAAAGTGGAGTCACCGCTGCTGGGATGGGGGCAGTGACCTGCCACCGCACCGCCAACCCGCCCCGCCGTGGCCCGAGAGGGTCCTGGCGCCAGGCAGGGGGCGGCACAAGTGTGACTGTGGCGCGGGCCGACCGTGGTGGCGAAGGAGCGGATTCTGCTCGGGAGGGAAAATGCCCTTGAAACACAAGCCTGGCGCAAACCAACCGCGAGGGCRATGAAAGGCGGCGGGGAGGAGCACGGCACCGCGGTGCGCACCCACCTTCCATCGGCGTGTTGGGGTCAGGCCGGTTGGCGAACACCACGTCCACGTACTCCAGCTGCAGCCGCTCCAGTGATGCCTTCAGACCTGCAGCACGGACAGGGTCATCAGGTGTGCTGGGCCTCGTGCAGCTGCCAGCGAGGCAGCTGGTGAGGCACAGCATGGCACTGGGGCCAGCAGCGCCTGGTGAATGCCTCACCCCTACCCCTACCTTCTATGATGTGTTTTCGGGATAGGCCCCTCTCTGTCTCAGCCCTGGAAAAGGAAAGGTGGGTGAGAGCATGGGTGGAAAGCCTGATCCGTACCAGCTGCTCTGCTGCAGGGTGAGTGTTACCTACTTTCCTCCCCAGAAGATTTTGGTGGTGATGACCAGGCTGGACCGTCTGCAGGGAGGAAGAGAGAGTCACTGGTGGTGGCACCTGCAAAGCCCCGTGCCCCCTGTCTGTGCATGTTCCTGCCCAAGGCTGCTCTGCCAGCTTTCCCCAGCCCCTCAGCACCACAGCGATGGCTTTGCCAAACAGGGATAACATCTGGCTTACCTCCACCCTTTTTTCTTGATGATGTTTCCCAGCACCACCTCGGCCCTGCAAGGGAAGGGGACATCAACTGTTGGTGGTGCAGTCATGGGGTGTGCTGACAACTGGCAGGGGCAGAGAACAAGGGGCAAACACAGTGGCTGTGGGGACAGTTTGCCCCTTGGCTGCAGTGCCCAGAGCTGAGCTGACCCCAGGGTATGAGCTTGCTAATTTTAAGTGAATGCATGAGCACACACATTGGTGTAAGTGTGCCCATGGCACAGCTGCTTCTCACTGCACYGAGAGGGTGCATGACTACACCTGTGTGATACAGGCCACCAGGAGAAGCATGGAACTGCCAGAACCACAACCCAGCAAATCCTCACAGCCCCATCCTGGAAGCTGCTTTGCAGCTGGCAAACCTGGGAGATTCCCAGTGCCATAATGGTTTGGTAGGAGCCAGTGTGTGGGGTAAGACCCCCATGGCGCTGCCAAAGCAGGGCACCTACTTGCCAGCAGCGTAGACTTCTGCCGTATCGAAGAGATTAATGCCGTTGTCATAAGCTAAAGTCATCAGCTGCTCTGCCATCTGCGAGGAGAGAGCGGGGTCGGTGAAGGGGGTGGCCCAGAGCCGGTGCACAGGCGCTTGCGCAGAGCGTTAGTGAGCTCTGGCATGCCGTGTGCACCCAGGCCACAGCCACAGCCGTGCTGGCCCCATCCCCTCCCCATTCACCAGGGAAAGGCTGGGCAGGGATGTGGTGAAGGGGTGCAGCCTTACCTCATCTGTGATCTGCCCTCCGAAAGTCACCCATGTTCCTGCAGGGGAGACAGAGGTGTGTGCAGGGTGAACGAGCAATGAGCACCGCCGCCTCAAGCCCCCGGCCACCCACCCCRGCTCCCTCAGCACGGCCCTGGCACGTGGTGGCCACAGCTGGCCCTGCCGCGTGCAGTGCGGTGCTCCCAGCACGGCCCAGTCGCTTCCTATCGCGTCAGAAAAAGAGAAAATAATTTGACAATTTCTGGGCCGTGACTCAAAACAGCCGCAGGGCCGAGGGAAACCCTTTCCTTCCCTTCGCAAACATCGCCGGGGCAGGCGAGCGCTGCCCTCGCCGGGGATTGCCGGCAGCTGCTGTGGCACTGAGGGGACGCCGAGGGGCTGTGGCAAACCCTGGCACTTACCCAGACCCAGGCAGGACACACGCAGCCCAGACTTCCCGAGGTTCCTGGAAGACAGAGACCATTAGGAAAGGTGCCAGAAAGCCCCAAAACGCTGTCTCATGCATCCCACATGACATCAAAGACACCGGGCGTGAGGACTGGGAGGTGTGGTGGTGGTCCCTGATCCCCATCCCCACCTTGGATGGTTCCACAATGAGAGTCCTCTCTCAACTGATTAACGAGCCATCCCAATCCCAATCKGGGCATCCCACAGCTTGGTGGTGGCACTGCCTGCACCTGCGCAGTGATGCYGTGCCCGGCAGGGCTATTGGGAGAGCAGTGACCTCATTAGAGCAGCTCCCTGTGATGGGGCTGGGGTGTCCGGCTGCCCTTAGAGTGCCGCTGATACTGGGGAATGAGACTGGAGGAAAAGGACCCTGTGTTTCCCTGTGCTGGTACTCAGGACTGAAGCATCCCATACATGGCATGAGTTGTGCCTGTTCTCTGCATCCCAGCACAGGGAAACACAGGGCTTGCACCAGGCGAGGGTGCTCAGGAGTGGAGCACCATCCTGGAGAAATGGAGCACCCCAGAAAATCTGACCGGCACAAGGAACTGGAGAACAGCTTTCGGGAAGGGGGCCAGGCTGGCAGACGCCTTCGCCGTGCTGATGGAGAGCCAGTTACTCGTTAAAAATGACAAAGGCTCAAGAAATGAGCGTTAAAATAAATAAAGTGTAGGTGAGCCGCGGCAGCTCGCCCGCGCGGGTGTCGCATAGCAACCGGAGGCACCGCCACCGCCGGCACCGCCGACACGGGCACCGGCAGCCGGGCAGGGWGCGGCTGTGGCCCGGCCGCGGGCAACCATGGGCTGCACCGAGTCAGGACACTGTCCTTCTGCGCTGCCATGTTATCGCCCAACATCTGCAGGCACTGGTGCTCCCCCTGTCCCGCAGTGTTTTTAGAGCATTTTGCAGTCGGGAGAGGCCACGACCATGGGGCAGCAGTGGCTCAAGGTCCCATGATGGGGGCTTGACATGGGGAGTGGACAGCACCCACCTCATCCTGGTCATTCCAAGAGCATCGCTGGGCTTCCCCTGGGCAAGTGGCCATCACTGCTCTTGGCTTCCCAGCCCAAAAGTGTGTTGACCAGCTGCCCAATGGAGACTTGGGAAGGCCAAGTCTCCCCCCACACTGTGCTATGGCCTTCCTATCCCATCCATTTGCTTGGAGCATTCCCTTGTGCCACCGTCCCTCCAGCAGCCACAGTTGGGGACCCCCGAGCTGATCACTCACTGCCTGGGAGCTGCTATGCTCCTCCTCTGGATGAGGACATGACTGTGGGGCAAAAGCACCAAGCCCCGAGGATGCCACCATGAATTGCCCCAGTACTGCTGCCACCGCTGCAAGGGTTTGGTGTTGGAGAGCTGGACAGGACGGGACCAGCCCCCTCCCCAGTGCCTGGGTAAGGGGGCACAGCTGATTCAGATGACACTGGTGGGTGATGGCCAGGCTCACCCAGCRCTCTGCTGGCCTGACACACTTTGTGCCTAATGCTGGCACATCTGGGCTGCAGCGGAGGCACGCGGCCGCTGGCAGCTGGACCATGGCGTGCCGGCTCATATGGGGGGGGCGCTTGCCCTATCCTGGGGTGCAGGTTCAACTGGGGGGAGCCCCAGCCTCACACCCACAGCCTCAGTGGGGGAAGCCCCAGCACTMTGCCCCAAAGCCAGGATATGGAGTTCATGAGCCCTGTGGGCGCTGGCCGGGGGCCCCCACATGCACACATCACCCCGTTTCCAGAACCACCATGGSCAGCAAGAGCCGCTTACGGCTCTGCACTCCCTTCGCAGTGAAGAGTCTCCGGCGGCAGCACTGTAAGGATGCCATGGCAGCCCGGATTAACACTACCGTGACTCCCAGACCCCGCCGGCTCAGCGGCCAGCCCGGCTTGACAGACACTGAGGATGCTAATCCTACCCTGAATTTTAGGGTCCCTTCTCCCTCCCATCCTGAAGGTTTTACGCGCGTCTGGATCAAAGCTGCCCTGAGGGGACAGGAGCAAACAGCGAAGAAGCGCACAGAGGTGCACGGTCAGCACTTTTAGCGACGAGTAACCGACAGAGCCGGACGCGAACCGGAGATAGAGGAGTGCGGCGCCCCCGGCCCCCAGTCCCCCCTCGCCGCCCCGACCGCGGTRAGGAACACGGAAAACCCCAGCAGTGCCCGTTTCCTACCGGTATTTCATCCCCGGCTGCTTGACGCTGGACTCGCTGGAGGAGGGGGCGTTCTGCACCGAGAGCTGCCCCAGGCTGCGAGCCACCATGGCCACGGCGCGGAACTTGCCGCGGGTGCCGAGGCTGGGGCTGCCGGCATTCTGTCGGTTCAGCCGGTCCTCCGCGCTCCGGCTCTTGATGCTGTGCTCGGAGCACACAAAGGAGACCTGCATGCTGCTCCGGCGGGCAGCAGCGCCAGCTGCCTAAATTTAGCCGGCGCCCCGGGCGAGGCGGGGAGCTCCTCCCGCGCGCCGCCAACGTGACGGCGGGGGGCTGCGAGGCGGCGGGCGCGGAGCGCTCCCGTCAGCCCTCCTGCCCTCAATATTTGATGAGCTCAGGAAGCGAGCGAGCGGCACCCGGGCAGGTGGGGGCAGCAGGGGCAGAGCCGCTGCCGGTACCCCCCAGAGTGGCCGTGGCGGGGCACGACTACCCTGCGCCCGCTGGGCATCCCCCCCGCGGGTGCGGCTGCTGGCTCAGCCCCGGTTCGGGGCACGGCGAGGACTGAGGTTGCGGAGTTAAAAGGTCCTTCCTTGCCTCCCGCCGGCCACGCAAAGCAGCACAGATTCCCCTGCACGAGTCCGAAACCAAACCCTCTGAACGCATGTGCATCGCTAACCCCGCGGCTGGGCTACAGCGCAGGTGGCGGCGATGCTGATGGCTCTCCCGCGGCAGAGCCCAGCTGTAGGCGAAGCTGTCCCCCTCGGGGCCACAGTTCCAGCAGCATGTTCCCCAAATGTTTCCCAGCAAAAGCAAAGTGAAGCTAGGTGAACTCCAGCCGAACATCTCCTGCCGAAGCAGGGACACAAGTCACCAYACTACAGCACCGTCCTGTGGCCGGGGCCACATGCCGGCTGCCAGCACCTGCCCCTCACAATAGAGCAAGATRCAGCGACGGGGCTTGCAGGAAATTATGCACATTTGCCCCAAAACTAATGAAAAATCTTGTAATCTCCTCCGCTTCCCTCTGTCGCAAAGCTCCTTAGCTGGTAATCCTGCCAGCACCAATGCCAGCACCAGCGCCGGCGCCGGCTCCAGTGCGGGGGGGACCTGGCAGCAGTTGTCAGCCCCCAGWGGATGAGAAGCCCCACAAATTTTGGGGGCAGCGGGGACATGCCCAAAGAAGGAGCACCTTTGGGGTGCCTGTGTCAGCTGCTCTCATCAATAAATAATGTCCCCATGAATATTAGATGGGCTCTTGCCACTGTGTAAATGTTACCGCGGTCATTGTGAGCTGAGGGGAACCTAACCTGCGGTGCAGCAAGAAGCGGCACAGTGCAGCACGGCAGGAGCTGGCAGAGCTGCCAGCTCCCGGGGGCTTTGCTGCAGTGGGGGACACGGGGCACCCCTGCATTGTCATTGGGAGAACAGCCTCTGTCCTCAGCCTGGTGCCCTTCAAATCCTGACCTGGGTTACTGGGGGTGCTTCGGTGCACCCCATTGCCCCACCAACAATGCCAGGGGAGAGTGGGAAGGGGTGTGCTGGGCAGAGCAGCCCCATCCCTCTCAGGGGCTGTGGCCGCCTCTCCATCTGCCCGGAGCGTCCTCCAGAGAAGGACAATCCTTCAATTGGCTGAAATCCTGATACACCTTGCACCYAGACCCACATGCAAAATTAATGATGTGATGCACACCAGTCAGTGAGGGGGAGATGTACCCCTATCAGACGGAGATTTACATCTGTGAGGCAGAAACAGCCCTTCTGCGGCTGTTTGCTCCAGGCGCTTAATCTCTAAAGTGCAGAAGGTGTTTCCATCTGCAAATGCCCAAACAGCAAACAGGGATGTCAAGTGAGAAGCTCAGAGATCACCAAGTAAGAAAGTGCTAACGACGCTGAAYGGCTGCCGCCTCTCCGGCGCTTGCCGTGCCAAGGGCATCAGCTCCTCCGAGCCTCAGCGCGGCACAGGGGAGCCGAGGTGAGCACAGGTGAGAGCCGTTCTCCTGCTGAGGTGTCAAACCAGCACCAAGCAGCGTCCCCTGTGTCATYCCCTCACCTCGGCCCTCGCCGCCCTCGCGGCGCCGCCTTACCTGTACTTCATGCCAGTGGCGCGGGCGGTACTGTCGGCCAGGGAGAGCCCGTGCATCCGCAGGAACTCCTCCAGAGTCTTCGCCCGCGCYGCCGCCCGCACGTCCCGCAGGCGCCGCAGCTCTGGCCCGTCGGCCGGCCGGGGGGCTGGGGGCAGCCCCCACTCGGGGCTGGGCCGGCTGGCCACGCTGCGCAGGCTCTCACTGTAGGTCATGGAGAGCATCCCGCCACCYGAGTGTGGGCTCGGCCGGCCAGCCCCACCGCCAACTGCTCTGTGGTGCTACGGAGAGAGCTGGGAAAGCACGACATGGGCTCTGTCGCTACTCGGGGCACAGCYCTGCCCGCAATGCCATGCTGGAGTGGTGGCACGCGTCCTTGCCGAGACATRTAGGACCCTAGCAAAGCCAGTCTCTTCCGCGGAGCAAAGCCTTGGRGTGGGAGCTGAAGCACAAAGGGAGAAGCAGCTGGACAGCGATGTGGCAGTCAATGCCTGAGGCTGAAGGGGTGCCTGCCACAGCTGCCCCAAGCCACATTCCAGCAGCGTGGCCTGTGCCCGGCTGCACTGGCTCCCAGCTCACAGCGTCCAGACTCGSGTCCCTGCGAGGGATGCAGATGGTACCAGGAGCTGGCCAAGGCATGGCAAGCAGTGGCACAAGTACTGCTGGTGAGACTGGCACTGTGTGCCAGTGGGCAAGGGAAATCAGGACGGAAAAGGGGTCCCCGTGAGCTCCCCGGAAAGGGTGGACATCGGCAGAGGGTCTGTGGGCACCGGGCGCTCGCTGTGCCTGCGTCACRCTGCCGCAATGCGCGCCACCAGCCAACACCTTCCCCACCACCGCGGCAGCGACCTCCCAGCCGGTGCGGCTGCCGAAAATAGCCTGCCGCAGGGTGGGCTCCTCACACAGCCGAGTCCTCGCTGTCTCTACGGCTGGGACCTCACTGGCAGTGGCACCGGCATTGATTTCTGTGCCTCTCTCTGCAACTTCTCTTGTTCTCAGTGTCAGCAAGGAGCAGAGACTGGGGCCAAAACTGTGGTGCTGGTGCTGGAGTGGCCACTGGGGATGTGCTGTGACAGATCTACACGGGTATCAGGCTCCAGCCAGGCTCCCACTGGTGGTTTTTCCTTTCCCTGTGAAGCTCACGTTGACAGCTGCAGGAGCCRAAAGTGAAGTGCTCTTTGCTACTGAGGGGTGACCTCCAGAGGGAAGGAGAAAGAAACCCAGAGGATATAGAGCAGCAGCTGGCCAGGTACGACCAAAACACTGGAGGTTTCCTTTGACATCCAGCGCTGCCAGAGACCACTCAGTGTTTCTCCTGCTCTGTAGCAAGGCCTTGGGAATGCAGGGAGACATGGAAAGGGGACCTTTCCCTCTGCCGTGGCAAAGCCAAACCAAATCCTTGTCACCAGCCTCCCCCTGCCAAACCTCAAAGCTGGAGACTGGAGCCGGCACCTCCAGCACCAGCCCTTCCCCATGGCTAGTAGTTTTAATTAGGGCAGCGCCGGTAGCTCCTGCTGTGTATGGGCACCTGATGGGATCTCCTTGTTCCCAGTGGGATCCCTGGGCCCTGGGAGGATCTCCTTGCCTGAGAGCAGCAAGCACAAGCCTGAACAGGCTGCACTGTTGTTCTACAGCAGCAAAACRGCTGCAGCAAGCAGAGCTGGGGGTTTGGTCTGGGCTGCTCTGCGGAATGGGGTGGGAGTCCACTGGCTGTCCTATCTTGACACTGCCCTGATTCTCGGCAGAGCAACAGTACCGGGTGGCAGAGAGAGCGCGGAGGCGGTGGCTGCGTTCGTGGCCGTTCGATAGCAGAAATCGCAGTGCTCCTGAGCTGAGCGGCAGTGGGGCTGCAGGAGCTGCCAGGGATAAGCTGTGCTGTGCCCAAGCAGGAGAGGCTGCTTTGCGAGGAAGGAGCAAGGATGGGGGACAGAGAGCAGGCTCTGCAGGATAACRGCACTGTTAGCAGCGTTGGGGGCACAACAAGTGGGTGACAGGCAGGGCAGCTGCCTGGAGAGATGTCTGGCTAGCCTGAAGCTGGCAGTCACCAGCCTAAAGCCAGGAAGATCCCAAACTCCAAAAGAAAACCACCCCAAGCCATCAAATCCCAAGTCACCCTGCATGGAAAATTTTCCCTGCTGTCCACAGCAGCTGCCCCAGGGCGGTGCCCAGCCCCGCTCATCACCCGCCATGCCCAGCCCCGCTCGCCGCCCGCGCCGCCGGCCCCGACTCACCGTGCCGGGGAAGCTGCTCAGCAGCAGCGCAGCTCTGGGCAGCCGGGCTGCCCCGGGGCAGATATAAGAGCAGCAGCGACCGCGTTGTTTTGCATTAGGGGAGTGTCGGTGCTTGGCGTCCAAAGCACTTGGTGGCTGCGCCGGGCCCCCAGCGCCCGGCTTCTCGCCGCGCTCCATTAGCCCTATTAGGGGATTTTCTTCCTTGCGAAGGGGAGCTAAATTATTCATGGCGCCTCGCTAAAAGCCCGGGGATGTGCCGCTGCTTTATCAACACTGGCACCGATGCCCCTCGCCCTGCGGTGACAGATCCCCCACCACCGGCACACGGGGTGGTGGGACAGCTGGACACTGGGGCCTTTGGGGAGCAGAGATGGTGCCCTGCGGCAGACACAGCCCTCCTATGATGCCYGTGGCAGCAGGGTCGGAGCTGGGCTGTGGCAGGACTGAAAGGCAGCCTCCTCCGAGAAGGAGCCCCGAAACGGAACTCGGTGGTGGACACAATGGGTGCTGCCCAAAGACAGCATTCGGACAAGCTGGGTGCTGCCTGTCGGCCTTGGCTGCCTTTTGCACCAGATGTGTCCAGTGGTTCAGGCCACTTTGGCAGCCAAAACTCGCCCCTGGCTGGGGCTCGACGGAGCTGGTGGCAGCGCTGGGACAGACACTGGCAGYGCCACTGAGCCATCCCAGTGCCAGCCTGCCTGCATCACCTCCTCCCGCCACGTGCGGGATAGATTTGGGGGGCCCTGATTCTGACAGGGAGCAGCCCCCCGTGCCCCACCCCACGACAACCAGGCCCGACCCGGTCTCACACCACTGGGCTGGCCCTGCGAGCGCTGGAGCAGTTGCTGGCAGAGTGTGTGTGGATAGCACCGCCTTCGCTTCAGACGGTAAAAGGGTGGTGGGGGCGAATGTTGCCTCCTGAACCACTTAATGAGACTGCTCTTAATGGCAGGAACAGCGGAGAAGCTGGCTGGGTTCCCAGAGCTGCTCCTGGGAAAAGCCAGGGGCTTCTCTAGGCACAGCACTGGTATGGGATGCTCCCCACAAGCTGAGCTGAGCCCCACAACCCCCAGCAGCTGCCMTCCACAGCCGTGTGGCCACACTGCTGCTTGAACAGCCTGTGAGGATGATTCCCCCACCCAACCGCACCCCAGGGTCCCCACACGGTGCTTCCAAACCCGTGAGCAGGTGATGAGGCAATGCCACACCCGTGATGTCCATCCCATACAGAGAGACTTCAGCACAGTGGGCAGGACAGTGCTGTGCTGGCATWATCTGGGCACGGGCATGGGCCACAGCCTCCTGCTGGGGRGAATTTGGGGAGGGGGAAGGGCCTGGTTACCTGTAGAACTGGAGCTGGCGCTTGGGGCTCCCGTACCTCGCGCTTCCGACAGCAAAGGGGAGAGAGAAGAAAGATGCCACAAACCCCGTTAGAAAGGAGAAGCGGGACTGAGCAGCAGAGACAAGCAGCATGGCAAGGGTCAGTGGCACCCACCCATGTCACATCACAGCAAGCACTGGCAAGACTCTGAAAGTGCCCACTATGTCTATAACAGGCACAAGCACCCCAAAACGCTGCTGCTGCTAACGTATGGGGTTTTTGTCCTGGAAGCTTTTGCACAAAGCATGCCAAAGCAGTTTAGGAGCATCAGGGCAGTTTCAGGGAGTGTGGTGGTTCTGGGTTGCCACAGGCTTGGGTTTTGAAGCCCCACAGAGTCCCCTCAGCACTGCCCTGCACCCTTACCTGTAAATCATCCCTGGGGAGCCCGTCTGCCGCAGCGAGAGTCGCGCTGGGGAGTCAGTGGTGGATTCGGGATACATGGAGCCAGCCTGGGCTCCCCGGAGCCACTCGCTGCCTCACCCCTGCCACAGGGGAAGAGCAAAAGAGGAAGAAATTAGKTTTTTTGGGGCACGCGCAATAACAGCACTTCCTGTTGCAGAAGACATTGAGCTGGATGGCCATGTGGCGTGAGCAGCGGCATGGGCATGTCAGCCCTGCCAGCCTCAGACCCCGGGGCTCACACCCTGACCCACCACCAATCCCAAAACCATCTTGCTCCAGCCCTGTTCCCCTGACTTCCCAGCTTGGCTGGCCTTTCCAGACATCCAGGGGTTGTGCGATCTCAGGAAACGGTGAGGAAGCACAGCCTGAAAAACGAAACCAAGGGGTCCCTCTGAAAGGAACAAGCTAAGGGGAGGAAAACAGTCTGGCTTTTCCCACAGCCCACATGTGACTGTGCACAGGAGTGAATGAGCTCAAAGGGAACGGAGGGCTCACTCCCAGGCACCCCTGACCCTCCCTGTCCCCATCCCCATGCCAGATCATCCAGTATGACACCCTGGGAGCTGTGCTTCTGCTCCTACAACACTGTCAGCAGTTTCCAGTATCACAGAAAACAATGACACTTCCCTACAGAACTGGGGCTGGGATTTAAATTTATCCYGTCTTTCTTTAGGCCGGCGAGATGCCATCTTTACGGTGCAGGTCACAAGCTGCTCTTTTTCCCAGATGGGGACTGAGACATCTCCGGGCTCCCTCCTGGCTGCCCTGGGCTCAGCAGGAGCATGGCCTTACACRGTGTGCTCATGTCCTGGCACGCATCCCGCCTGCATCCTGGCACAGCATGCCTGCATCCTGCATCCCTCCYGCATCCTGGCACAGAATGCCTGCATCCTGCATCCAGGCACCGTGTGCCTGCATATCGCATCCTGCCTGCATCCCAGTAGAGTGTGGCAGCATCCTGCATCCCAGCAGGGCATGCCTGCATCCTGCATCCCTCCTGCATCCCAGCACAGTGTGGCAGCATCTCGCATCCCTCCCACATCCTGCATCCCTCCTGCATCCCAGCACAGTGTGGCAGCATCTTTCATCCCTCCTGCATCCCAGCAGAGTGTGGCAGCATCCTGAATCCCTCCTGCATCCTGCATCCCTCCTACATCCCAGCAGAGTGTGACAGCATCCTGCATCCCTCCTGCATCCCAGCAGGGCATGCCTGCATCCCGCATCCCGCCTGCATCCCAGCACAGTGTGGCAGCATCCTGCATCCCCCCTGCATCCCAGCACAGTGTGGCAGCATCCTGCATCCCTC